CATCAGTCAGCCCATCTATCGGCCTGTAGGAGCATCAGTCAGCCCATCTATCGGCCTGTAGGAGCATCAGTCAGCCCATCTATCGGCCTGTAGGAGCATCAGTCATTTAATCTTATCTAAGTATCGGTCTATCAAAGTATCGTCACATTTACAGCATCTATCGGTGTCTATATTAGTATCTGCAAAGGAACAAGTAATAGGTTTATTCCATGCTGAAAAAAAGAAGAAAGAGAACACAACGTTTCGGCTGTGGAGCCTTTTTCAGGTGTGCATATATACCCACCTGATATATAAGTATCTGTCTTTCAGTATATAGAAGTATTGGCCTTTCTATCGAACAGTCTGCATGTTTATACTGAGATACTATACTATACGTCTCTCTCTTTGGTAAGGGGCACTACCTCACAGAGAACCCTTTCTGATGGGGTGTGCTCTCACAGCCATGAGTCAGCGTGTGTGACAAGAGAGAGGGTTGCAGAGTTTGGGGGTGTTGGGGGTGCTGACTCTGATCTCTCCCTCGCTCCGCTGTGTGATAATGAGGCAGTCCCAGGTGACACACTGCCTCTGTGGTAGCAGCGCTGACAGCTGCCATTGTCAGACTAGCAAAGAGCCATTGTGCAGCGCAGCCACACTGCGAAGTGAGAGGAGGGCACGATGGGTAAGACAATAAGGCAGAGGAGGGGGTGAGGGGGTTCAAATTCTCCCCACACAGGCCTTCCCCCCCCCCTCTCGCTCCCTCGCTCCTGTGCCCCCCTCCCTGTCCCCGTGCTCCTCTCCCCCCCCCTCTGTCCTCTGCTCTCGCCACGCTGTGTGTTTTTAGACGGGGGGGCTGTGTATCAGGAAGGCGTGTGGGCTGATAAGTGCAGCACGCAGGCAGCAGGAGATGGAACACCAGCAGTATTAATACTAACAATGATAACGAGCTGCAGTATTAATACAACAATGATAACGAGCTGCAGTATGAATACTAGCAATGATAATGTATTGCAATATTAATACTAACATGATGACATACTGCAGTATTAATACTAACAATGACAACACACTGCAGTATTGATACTAATAATGAGACAATACAGTGCAGTAAACCCCAGTGAGATCAGGGTAAAAGCACAGTTCAGTGCAGTTAAGCCCAGTGAGATCAGGGTAAGTCCAGTAATCATCCTGACTGCCTAGAACTGCTATTGGAGTGACCCCTCTCTCCTCCTAATTAATCGACAGACACAGCCACAAGCAGGGATTTGCATATTAATTTTACAAATTCACAGCATTTTAAAAATGGAAGTTTTCACACTCCTACAATCTGCAAACAAGAGTGTGAGGGTTTGCAAAGGAAAGTGTGCAAAACGCACACACCAAGATACAGGCGCTCAAACAAACACCCTGAGACACACACACCCTTACACACACCCACCTACCGGCACACACACACCCTTACACACACCCACCTACCGGCACACACACACCCTTACACACCCACCTACAGGTGCTCACACACACCCAAGTACACATACCCTACTACAGGCGCACACATACTCTCCAACAGGCACACAGACACCCCCTCTTCCTCCTGTGCCCCCCTCTTCCTCCCCTTCTCTCTCCCTTTTCTTCTGTCTCTCAGTCCTGCTTCCTCACTCTGCTACAAAGGTGTTGGAAAAGTTCTACAACCTCTCTGTGAAATAACACCACTAACAACCGGACTGCAGCAACTGCAGTTTTGCTGACCGCAAAGCCCTACAGCGGGTGGTGAAAACTGCCCAGTCCATCACTGGGGTTGCCCTCCCATCTATACAGGACATTTATGACAGACGGTGCTTGAGGAAAGCTCTAAGCATCATCAAAGACCCTATACACCCCAGCTACAGACTCTATGACCCTCCACCATCTGGAAAACAGTACCGGAGCATTCGGGCCCGGACTACCCGACTCGGAGACAGTGTTTACCCCCGCACTATCAAACTATTAAACTCTCAGCCTCTCTCACCTACGATCTGAACCTCACAGTGCCTTCTCTCTTACCAAGGACTCAAACACACATTGAAATCTACCTCTACCTCACATGTCAAGGAGCTCACTCCCCATCATTTTCTATCCTTTATTTCATTCTGTTGATGTATGATTTTACACATCTGATGTTGTTTTGCACACTGCCTGTTGTCTCTGTCTTTCTTTTTTTATACAATTGTATTCTGTACTTCTTACCGTCTGAGAGCTAGCTTACTAGTATTTCGTTATACCATATACCTGTATATGAGTAGAATGACAATAAACTTGAACACTTGGACACTTGAGTGCTGCCTGTTTTGCCTCCGACACTCCTATTTCTCTGCTTTGCGCTGCGGACCCGTGCACTCGGAGCTGCATGCTCTGTCCGCGAGAGGAGGGGAATGCGGGAGAGGGGCGGGCGGAACGGGCCAGGAAGCGCCCCCCCCTCCCTCCCCGACTGTACAGCCGTGACACAGATGATGCAACCCCACCGTCCGGCAGGGTAACGAGCCGAGCTGGCGGGCTGACGAGAGCAGGGAGGAACGCAGAGGGGGTGGGGGGCGGTGGCACAGGTTTCCAGGCGCGCACTGAGAGATGTGGAAACTCACTCACGCTGCAGTCGGACACGTGTTGTCCAGATGTGCTGGGGGGGGTGGGGTGGGGGGGGTGTTTCGGCCGCTCTTTGTCTGCAAGTGGCGTGTGCCTGACCTCCTCCCATCCCGACCCCGAGCACCGCTCTTCATCATCTCTCTCTCACACACACTCACATAGACAAACGTGCACACACAAATACACACGTCTTTCCTGCACTGTACTGTGCTTTTATCCTGATCTCATTGGCTTTCCTGCACTGTACTGTGCTTTTACCCTGATCTCACTGGGCTTTCCTGCACTGTACTGTGCTTTAACCCTGATCTCACTGGGCTTTACTGCACTGTGCTTTTACCCTAATCTCACTGGGACTTACTGCACTGTACTGTGCTTTAACCCTGATCTTCTACCCTGATCAGTATTTTTACCCAAGAGCAGGTACTGTGCTTTTACCCTGATCTCACCGGGCTTTACTGCACTGTACTGTGCTTTAACCCTGATCTCACTGGGCTTTCCTGCACTGTACTGTGCTTTAACCCTGATCTCACTGGGCTGTACTGCACTGTACTGTGCTTTTACCCTGATCTCACAGGGCTTAACTGCACTGTACTGTGCTTTTACCCTGATTTCACTGTGTTCTTCTTGGACTGTACTGCTACTGTCGACATTTACAAGATTGCACTAACATACTGTGTTGTATGACCAGTATGTTGTAAGACATGAGGCCTGAACCCTTACAGAGACTTCTCATACAATTTCCACGAAACACAGGCTGTATCTCTCTCTAGGCGGTGGGAGAGAGGTGTTCTCTCTCTCTCTCTGCTGAGGCACTGGCTCTGATGGTTTACCAAACGCAGTTTCATCACAAATCCACAACTTTCCCGATCCCTCAGTTGGGCTGCCTCCCAATTCCTCCTTGCCAGCCGGCAGCCGGCAGCCGTGGGAACGCTCTGTGCCACACAGCCCTCCCCCGCGTTCCTCCGAACCCCTGCCCTTACTGAGAAGTGCATTTTTAGCGGTCGGGAGGAACCTCTGATGGCGCAGGAAGTGAGATAAGTGTTGCACTGTGCATGCACGGTCGAAGTTATCTGGAGCGCAGAGCTCGGGCAAAAATAGCCACCCCGTCAGATGAATGACATCGCCGCGGGCCACGGATGGACTGATGTCACTATTTTTTTATGGGTTTTTTCCCCAACAAATGATGTCATTTCAGAGGGGGACGGGGTGGGGGGAG